CAGCTTATGGTTTGCCAGGCCTCTCTTTTCTTTCTGCTGCAAGGCCAGTAAGATCTCAGATAGGGGCTGCTCTGTCAGCTTGGGTCCTAGACTAAAGTGGCCGGGAGCGCAGCAGAGCTGGCCCACCATGGACCACAGTATGAGTAAGGAATAAGCCACTGCTGTGCAGGCTGCCACATTGTTGGGGTGAGCTGTTAGACTAGCATAGCCAGTCGAAACTGACCACACAGCAGTAGAATTTGGCTTAATCTCAGACCCTCTGAAAGTATATCACATTTATCCCCTGTATTCCCAATGAATCCCTGTTTTCCTCACCTCTGTAGCTTTTCCCATCCTGCTTCCTCTGCCTGGAATTTCTTTGAAATCCTACCCATCTTTCAAAGTCAAACCTGGATCCATGTCTTCTGTGATCTTTCTCAGATCCGCAATAGCATCAAGCACTTACTGAGCATTTACTACATGCCAGATACTACCCTAGCATTTGTTTTATTTCATTTAATCTTCACCCCGTGAGATAAGTCCTATCACTGTAGCCACATAAGGTGAAGAGAGGTAAAATAATTTGTCCAAGGTCACACAACTGGTAACCGGCAGAGCCAAGATTCAAACCCTATGCTCCTTCCACTCCAGTACTCACTGCTATTTCTGTTCCCTGTTACATTTCTACATATCTCTTTGCTCTCCCCTCCTCATCTCTGAAACAGCTTCTGTACCTGACTGACCATGCTTTGTTTTTGTTTTTGTTTTGATCTGGGTTTGAGTATGAATTTTACCCCTTTCTGGTGGTGAGACCTTCGGCTAGTCACTTGATTTCTCTGAGCTTCAGTTTCTTCCTTACTTCTCCTGCAGCTCCAAACAGGGTGCCCAGTAAACGCTTACTAGCTGACCGACTGAATGAATGAACTCTCTGAGCTATGATTTGTCCATTTGTAAAATGGGAATAATAATGGTTCCTCCTTTACAGGGTTGTTGTGGAGTCTAAATGACACCTAGCACAAAGCATGACACCTAACACCTAAGAATTCAATACAACTTAGCTATTATTATTATAAGCCATAGGAAAGGTAAATACAGTATATAATATACAGAGAAAAAGCTTACTTCTCACAATGGGGATTGGGGAAAGCTAGTTTCATGGCAGAAGTGACTTGAGTGGACTTTGAAGAATGCATGGGATCTGGACTTGGACATGAGGTACAGGGAGACATTTTAGGCAAAGGGAAGAGCATAAAGACACAGACAGTTTAAGTTTTAAAATCTTAATCCCTCGTTCCTCAGTTGTACCACTTCTAGGGTCAGATCTAAAGAAATAAGTGTAAATATAGAAAAAGCATTATGCATAAAGATGTCCACTGCAGCGTTGTTTATAAAAGTGAAAACGTGGAAATAACTGATATGTCCAACAATACGGAAGTAGTTAAATGAATGCTCTTCTATTCATCTGATATATTGTCATATGTCTATTATAATTAAATATATAAGAAGTGTATAATAGAAAATGTTTATGAATGATGCTATGTGAGAAATAAGAGAAAATGAATAATCAATATAGTTACAATTATATGAAAACAACTTCCAAAACCAAAAGCAATATTCGGAGAGTCTAGGAGGAAATATGCTAAAATATTAATAGGAGTATCTTTGGAGTAATGGTCTCTGGTGACTGCTTTGGGATATTGAAAGCAATCTTTCTTACATTTATCATTTTTTTATTATCATAGCTAATCTTTTTTTTTTTTTTTTTTTTTTTTTTTTTTTTT